TACCGCCCGCGCCTCGCCCTGCCCTGCCCTGCCCTGCCCTGCCCGAGCCTCCTGTCCCCGGGCCTGGGCCCGGCCCTACTGGAGCAGGTGCTTTGCTTTCTCTGATCCAGCCCGCGGAGCCCTCCCGTCCAGCCCAGGCCGTCTCCACGAGAACAGACATTTGGCGGCAGGGCCGCGCTGGCAGCGTTACTTGCTGCTCCACCGCAGCCAGATTTCCAGAGCGGCAGGCTGGATGACGGCCCTGCACGCTGCATTGCACCTTCTTCCAGGATCCCTCACAGTCGAGGGCGATCTCTTCCACGGCTGTCTCACCTGTGTGGCCGAAGAAGGCGCCTCGGAGATGGCCTGGCGACTACTGCAGCTCAGACATGTTTCTGTGTGGGGAGGGTGGCGCTAGGTCCTCGATTCAGTCTGCCACATGCTGTTTCTGCCACACCTGCTTCTCCATCTCCTGTTGCTGTTGTGAGGTTTCAAAGCACTGAGATTCCCGCAGCACACTCTGCCTCTATTTGGGGCAGTCCTGGGCAATTGTCTCCCATGAGTTGACATCGAAGTTGCATTTTTTAAAGTTGGCTTTACAGATGTCCCCGAAGCACTCTCTGCCCTCCTCTTAAGCATATGCCTTGGCTGAGCTGGGAGGATAAAACTTGCTTCTGGAGGCTGGGCTTGGACATCCAGATGACATGGCCAGCTCAATGAAGTTGATGTTGGATGACCACAACCCCAGCATGGTGTTTGCTTGCAAGAGAATGCTAACATCAGTGCGTCTGTGTCTCCACTGGATTTGAAGGATCTTTTGCAGGCAGCGTTGATAGTATTTCTCCAAAAACTTTGGCTGTCTCCTGTACATTGTCCACGTCTTAGCTCTGTACAGCAAGGTGGGGATCATGACTGCTTGATAAAACAGCCACTGCACCAGCACATGGCTGGATGCAGGCATATCCCGCTGGGCTAGTGCACTGCATCACACCTGAAGATGGACCCCAAGTGCCTAACCCATGATGGATCTGGCCCGCAGACCAACCCTGCACCACTCACCAGGCCTGCAGGGCTGGATAGGTTGAGCACCACTGGGCTAGTTCTCCAGCTTTACACACAGAGCTCCAGGGAAGCCACAATGATGACAGGTCTATATTTAAGGAATACATAAGGACTATTCCTCTAAGTGAAGGCCTTTGAATTTACGAGTCATCATGCCAGCACAGATCAGAGAAGTGGAATCTAGCTGTGAGGAAGCCTATTAGATGCGCTGCTCTAAGCTAAAAGTCAGGGGTGGATAAAATATAGCCTGCAGGCCAGATTCAGCCTGCCAAGGGATTTTATCTGGCCCATGGCAGGTGCCTTAGCCCCGCCCAGCCCATGGGGCTTGCACCTGGTCCCACCACTCCCAAGAGTGCTGTGGGGCAGGCCAGCACAGCAGATGGCTCAGTCTGCCTGGCTGCTGGCCCATCTGCCCTGCACCCACCGCAGGGGGTGCTGGACAGACTGGGCAGGTGGGGTCTCCATGAGGACTGGCCTGGGACTCCCAAGGGCAGGATGCACTCAGCCGGGCAGATGGAATAGGGCTGTGGACAGGTGGGGAGCAGCATCTAGGAGTGGGATGGGTGGATGGAGAGTTGCCTCCAGGAGCTAGACAGGCAGGTGGGGGCCAGGGCCCAGATAGCACGGCAGTGGCAGTGTGGGCCCAGTGCAGAGCCACGACCAGCTTCCTGCATGACTGCCTCAGAACCAGCACCTGTCACAGGAATATGCAGGCAGCCCCTCGTGGCTCTGCCCTTGGCCTGTTCCACTGTCACTGCCTCTCAATCCCAGCCCCATCCGATCCACCCAGCCCAGCGTGCCCTGTTCACAGGGGTCTCAGTCGGTCTCCATGGACACCCTGCCTGCCCATCACCCTTGGCAGTAGGTGTGGGGTGGATGAGTCCAGAACTGGATAGGATCATTTGCCCCACGCTCCCAGCACTAGGCCAGGTCAGCAACCCCTGCTTCTACCCACAACAGCTCACTGAAACTCCTTAAATGGCCCAGCAGCTCAAATAACTGCCCACCTCTGTTATAACCACTTGGGCCCAAGGGTGTGTGTCTTCATTACTGTCCATGAGTTAGTCAACCAGACTAAAATTACATAAATCAGTAGCTCCATCTTACACTTGTACAATAGGGCAGTGTTCCAGCCATCCACAGGGTCAAAGGAGGCGTTTTATTTTTTGGAGGCCTACTTAGGGTATCAAAAAAGGCACCAAGTCCACAAGTAGCAGAGGGTATGGGCCTGCTCATCTAACAGGAAATAACTTTGAGACAAAGGCTGATCAGACTTGCAGAGTACTGACTTCCACCAGCATCTGCTGAATGTGCTCAGCATCCACCTCAGGATATGGTGCTGGCCTTTCAGCCAGCATAGCATCAGCCCAGGAACTCCATACTGAAACTGAGGGAGCTGGGAGGGGCTCAACCTTGTATAACTACAAAGGTGAAGGTCCTCTGATGTGAAGTGACTGGCACCACAAATGGCTTGACAGGGCTGTCCACTGCAAAAGTTCCCAGTAAGTGACAGGAGGGCTTGGAAGCACAATAAACTCAACTTTTTTTTTTGTTAATCAACTCCCCAGTGCACAAGTCTGTGATCTTCCCTTTACATTAGACTTGGCGTACTTGGCATGTGTTTGCTCAACAGACAAATGGTGGGACACCTTTACAGAAGTATTTATTAAAAGGGCTTTTTCCATGTTATGCTTTGTGCACAAGATTCTTGTTCCACTAGGAGCAGCACACAAGAGTAGCTCGGTGCCCATGGTAGCCAGATTCAGCTAGGAGAAGGTATCCACTGCCACAAAGGAGTTAGAATCAGCGTGGAATCACATTTCTTTCTGTAGCCTAGAGTACAGAGACTTCACTCTTTGGCAGCCTTAGTTCACTAGAGTCTGATCTTAGTTTCTGTCCACTCTCCACAACAGGTCAGTTCCTTTTCTCCCACCCCCTTGTTTATCAGAAGGGGTGGGGGGGCAGAGAAGAAAGAGGCCTTTCTTCCCATCCCCTGGCATGGACAGAGGCAGAAAAGGATCTTGGAGTCACTACTGATTCCAAGGTGAACATGGGCCACCAATGCAAGGAAGCGGTCAGTAAGGCTAACCACACCTTGTCACGCATCCATAGATGCATCACAAGCAGGTCCAAGGTGATCCTCCCCCTCTATGCAACATTGGTCAGGCCACAGCTGGAGTACTGCATCCTGTTCTGGGCGCTGCACTTCAGGAAGGACATAGACAGTATTGACAGGATCCAAAGGAGGGCCACTCGCATGGTCAGGGGGAGCAGGGCAGACCCTACAAGGAGAGGCTACAGGACCCGAACCTGTTCAGCCTCCACAAGAGAAGGCTGAGGGGGGATCCGGTGGCCACCTATAAACTGGCCAAGGGGGACCAGCAGGCAGTGGGAGAGTCCCTGTTCCCCCCCAAGCACTACCAGGAGTAACAAGGAATAACAGCCTTAAGTTGACTGAGAGTAGATTCAGATTAGACATCAGGAGGTGCTGCTTCACAGTGAGGGCAGCTAGGAGCTGGAACTGACTTCCAAGGGAAGTGGTGCTCGCCCCTACCCTGGGGGTCTTCAAAAGGAGGCTAGACAATCACCTAGCCAGGTTCTTTTGACCCCAGCATCCTTTCCTGCTCATGGCAGGGGGTCAGACTTGATGATCTGCTCAGGTCCCTTCCGACCCTACTAACTATGAAACTATGGACCACCCTTTTGCTCATGCTGCCCAGTATACCTGCATTCTTCTCCTGCTTCTTTTGTATGGCGTCAGATACCAATTTCCAAAGCTATTCCCAAAGTCTGGCATTATCACTCAATGTGCAGATTCCATTTCCCGCATCTGGGCATTTGTAAAGACTGCAGCTTTCAATTAAGTGCTGTGCTGTTTGTTGGATACTGCATTCACACAGGACTGCATACAGACACTTCAAAACATGAACAATCTTGGACACCTGCATTAAAACACTAATACTGATAACTGACTAAATCAAGCCTAATCTAAGCAAACACAGCAAGACTTACTGGTAGAGTCTGCCTCAGATACTAACCCCACACCTGCCCTTCTATTCCAAAAAGTTAACACTCAGTGAAGCACAATTTACAAATTGTCTTTATTTATGTATGATACTTGCTCATACATAAAACACCTCCCAAATCTTAAAATAAAAAGTTTAACCATCACAGGTTTGTGAACTTCCAGATAAGGAGGACAGCAAGGTCTTGACAAGTAGCTGAGACTGCTCTAAAAGTCACCCCACAAAGGAGGCAAAAAGCATCCTCTTTCCCCCTCCTTCGGTCTCTAAATGCTATAATAGCCATGGTTTCCTGAGCCCATCTACATTACTGCATAGAAGCCAACAATCTGACTTCTTGTGCAAGCATCAAGGGGAGGTGCTGAGAGATATTACTTTCCACATGCTGAAGCTTATGTGCATGGTGGTAACTTAGTCACCCCTCCAACGCTCAATTATCTGGTACTGCTTCTCAGATCTAACTTCCTGTAGCAACAGGAGGGGCCCCATTCTGCTGGAAAGGAACACAAGGGATAGAAACCAAGCCCAGGGTTACACCTCTCTTTGGCATCCAATGCCAGAGATCAAGCAGTTATGAGTTGCAGAAATTGCATGGGGGAGTGGGACCTCAAGCAGCAACTTGCCTGGATTTTGCTTGAGGACAGGATGTTAACTTTTGCACTGATTCCATGCCAATGTGTCGCTACTCAGGGAAAGGCAACTGGAGTTTTACTTCAGAAAGGTGCCATAGACAGGAACTAACCCCCAGAGAACAAACCAGCTAGGGGAAGAAGTTTAAGGCAGATTAAGTTACATTCATGTCACTTCCCTCATGGGCTGTACAGCACACTGCTGGGATAAAGCATGTCCTGGTGAATCAGATTCCTGAAGGTGACACAGCACAGCTTCTATAGCAAGAGGGCTGGGCAAGGTGGGAGGCATGGCCTGATGCTTTTACCTGCTTCATCTTTTTATCCCTTCTCTTGAGCCACAGACTTATCTGAGAGTCAGCAGGTAACCAGGCATTTCCTCACATCTTCTCTTGACTGGCAATTCCCTCCAAAAAAGCACTACAGGACTTGCAGCTCCTGGCCTTAGTCCCCATGTGGCACGAAGGTGGGGAAAGCCCTATAGCTCCAAATCTTGAATTTCCAGGTTGGAGAACAGGCCATGGAAGAAAGAGCATTTTAGCGCTTTGCCTTCCCCAGGGATATCAAATATGCCAGACTACTAGTGGAAGTGGGGAGGGGAGAGACACATCCAGGGGGAATGGCCCACTACAGAATCTGGGGATCTTGGGCCCTCATGGACAGGGTGATAGGCAACAGGAAGGCGTGCCAGGCTGATATAACCCGTTGCCATTCAGCCACTTTGCCTGTCGCCACTTCTGCAGCCTTAGCTCCTTAGCCCTTGGCCCAGCTACCACCCTGTGCTAAAGTTAGAGCTGTTGCCATGGCATGGGATGGTGGCAGGGCAGTAGCTCTGACTCCAGGCATGCAGCAGGGGTTGGAGCTGCACTGCACGCAGGTCAAAACTGAAGCTGCCATTTGCCCTGGTCTGGAACCACCCCACATCCTGGGCTGGCTTCAGCCTGCAAGGAGCCCCATGGTTCCAATCCAACTTGGAGTGCAAGGCAAGTTTGACACCCTGGTGTACTCTGCCTAGCAGCACCCACAGGATTTCTTCAAAAGGTAGAAAGGTCATTGCAAAGTGGGACCGTTAAGGACGGAAGAAGAGAAGAACTCTGTTGGGTGTCTGTCCCCTCTTCCCCCACTCAGTTTCCATTTAACGGTGGGGGCACGCAGCAATGAAAGCTCTAACCACTGGCCTTTCCTCCTTGGCCACAAGCAAATTACAGTACTTTAAATTTCACAGACTTAACACTGGCTGAGAAAAGGGGACTTACAGAAAATAGAAATCCTTTGTTTTACACAATAGGCAGGGGTCTGAAATCCAGGACACTGCCAACCTTTTAAAATAAAACTGTACAGAATGAGCCATATAACCCTGATGGTTACCAGGCCATAGTCTGGTGCCACCAGCCCTAAGGCTCTTACCAGGGCCAAGGTCAGAATTAGTTAGTAATGGTGTGGGAGTCCAGCCACTCTCCCACAGCCCTAGTGTGAGGGATAGGGAAGGTTAAGTCCTTGAGGATTGATGCCAACTGTGTCCAGTCTTTTCACACGCCCACTTAAGGGACTGTGGTGGGCACATGGGTTATGAGCTCCCCAGTCACATGCAGCTCAGTCACTTTCAAACTTGATGGAATTGACTTGGGTAGAAATAGTGCCTCCGCAGTAACTGCCCCTTTTCTTTTTTGTCTTCTCGTGTCGGAAGGATTTGCCTTTGGTAAATTTCAGGACGTTGTTGGCTCTCTCACCCCAGTCGCCCGCAGCTCCTTTCTGTGACAGAGGGAAGGGAAGTTTGGTCAACAGCCAACAAGCAGCGCAACACAGACAATAGTTGGCACTACATGATACACAGCAACAACTTTTAAAGGGTGGGTTTCACCCAACACTCAAGCCTGGAGGGAGTGGGTACTCCACACTGCCAGCACTCATGAGTTCCTCTAACGGAAGCAGGTCAGACAGGAGGTCTGCCTACAAGCACCTGGGAAAGATCTGCCAGATAGCCTGTCTTATAGAGACAGACTGTCATTCTGGCCTCACCTGTGCTTACCTTTGCATCAAATGAGTTGTCAGCTACGCGGTTATCCACCTGGATCTCTTCTTCTCTCACTCTTCGAAATGGAGAAGAAGGCTGATTGAAGAAAAAAAAAAACAACAAAAAAAGGCCATGGTCATGCTAAGCCAGTACATCCCACAGCTCTCCTGGCTAGCCCAGGCAGTAGTGCAGGACACCATGAGGCCCATTTGACCCACCCTGCCCTTGTTTTACTGGTCTCGTTTCTCAGGCCTATGTACCACACACCTCACCTGCAGTGGGGCAGGACTAAGGTGCACAGCATAAGCATCTTAAAGGTACCATAAAAATGGACCCTTAGGACAAGTCAAAGAGGGTACAGGGATCCTACTAGGATCCCCTGCAGTGCTGACGATGAAGGAAAGCAATAAATTGCTGGGACCGAGGGACAAGAAAAAGCATTTCTTCTCACTTAGTGGATTCTGCTTTCACTCACCTGCTTTACTTTGGGAAAGGAATGGGGTGTCTTATGCTTGGATTTTTTATTCTTATTCTCTGGTGTCGCCAACTCTTGGTCATCTTCCCTCGCCCGCTTCTTCTTAGCAAGACCTGTTAAAAGCCACAGCAGTCAAACTTCAAGGTGAACAGAATGAGTTTTGTTTCTCTCCTTGTGACTTGGGTCAGCCATAATACAAGCCAAAAGTAGAAGTAGGCTGGGAACCCGAGCACCAACTTAACAAACCTCTAGTAATATGTGGAGGTGGCATCAGGGCATAGGCTATATACACAGTGCTGTTTTGGAAACTATCTGTGGAAAAGGACCCCACGCATGCCCCGTCTGACAAATCCCTCCCCAGCCATGAGTCAGTACCTCCATTTGCTTTTCCCTTCTCCTCATCGGTGCTCTCAGAACTGCTCTCACTGCTGCTGCTATTGCTGATGCCAGCTGGCTTCTTCACAGTTGGCGATTTGGCTACAGGAGTGGATGAAGACTTTGGTTTCTTCTTCCCAATGCTGGAGTTGTTCTGTGCCTCTTTTTTTGCTTTCAAACCAGCGACAGGAGTCCCTGCAGGTTTCAGCTTCTCTGCCTCATCACTGGAACTGTCAGAGGAGCTGCTGGTATTGCTTGCAGCCACTCCTTTCTTCTTCACCGGTACTCTAGCACTCCCTGCTGGTTTGCTGGCCAATTTCATGGCTGGCTTCTTTTGCTCCTCCTCGCTGCTTGAGCTATCAGAGTCTGAGCTGCTGGCCTTGGGTCCTGGGGTACAGGGTTTGGACCCTGGTTTGGCTGCTTTCCCTGCTGGCTTAGTTGGAGGGGCTTTCTTCTCCTCCTTGGAGCTGCTGTCCGAGTCAGAGCTGCTTTGTGCTTTCTTTGCAACAGCAGGAGACTTCTTGGATGCCGGTGGAACTGGTTTAACTGAAGGCTTTGCAGGGGCTTCATCCTCAGAGCTTTCAGAATCTAGAAGGGAAGCCTCCAATGAGAAACCACAATGACTGAGCAGAGCTGGTTCAGCAAGACCAACCAGGCAAGAACCCTATCTAACCTAGCATGTGGCAAAAAAACAGGTTTTGCTCACTAGTTAAAAAGACAGAACAACACACCCTTATAGATCAAAGATCTCTGCTTACACAATAGCCACAACATGAATAACAGCAGTCTCCCCTTAGGCTGCCACAAGGGGACAAGCATGGTGGGTAGGTGAGTATGAGTGCGCACTTGCACATGTGTGCGCACTGTACATACCTGCCCACTAGCACAGAGTCAAATTGGAGTCACTCACAAGCCAAACAATTGTCAAACCACAGTTTGTCCTGAACTTCTCACTGGAATCAAGTGGCACTTTCAGGACTGAGCTGAGAACATGCCCACTTGCCTCACCTAGGGAGGCCAGAATATGGTTTAATGACTGAAACCAGCTAGAAGAGCATGTTATTCTCAAGCAGCATGGTGTGGCAGCTCTTTAGAAATATTAACCTGGGCAGTGATTATTCAAAAGTGTCCCCTCCTGCTGCCTTCACCTCCCTGCTGGATAATTAAGTTCACCCCCAAAATATTAATTTTACAAATACTAACTTCTGAAACTATTCACCAGCAGGGATGACGTTTCAATCACATGGTAGAGCAAGGTGGACAAAATATGGCCCATGGGGTGGATCCGACCTGCCAAGGGATTCTACCTGGCCTGCAGCAGCTAGACTCTGCTTCCCAGCAGCCCCTGCAGCGATGGCTTATTTCAGCTGCCACTCCTAGCGCCTCCACAGCCACTGGCCCCAGCCCAGCTGCCTGGGCACCCCAGTCCATTCACCCCATGCCCACCGCTGGGGGGTACTGGATGGACAGGCAGGGTCTCCATGGAGACCAAGCCAGAACCCCCAGCAGGCAAATCGCATTTGGCCAGATGGATGGGATGGGGCTGCAGGTGGGCAGAGAGCAACCCGGGCTGAGATTGCAGGGCAGTGGGGCAGAGCTGCAATCTGCTCCTTGCGTGCCCCTGCCTGCAGAACCAGTGCCTGTCACAGGGACATGTAGGGAGCAGATCACAGCTGTGTCCCAGGCCCCAGCCACATGCTGTCAATGCCCTGTGATCCTGGCCCCACCTGCCTGTCCTGCTCCCAGACACTTCTCCCCAACTGCCATGGCCCCATCCCATCTGCCCAGGCAAATGTGCTCTGCCCACAGGGGCCCTGGCCCATTTCTGGGAGACCCTGCCTGTCCACTTTATCTAGTGCCTCTGACAGTGGATGCAAGGCGGACAGGCCCGGGCTGGATGGGATCAATTCCCTCACCCCCCAGGCCCAGAACAGCTCACCAAAATTCCTCAAGTGACCTTCCAGCCAAAATAATTGTCCATCCTGTGGTAGAGGCACCAGCACTGCAAGTGATAGGGTGCTAATTGGTTAGGAACTACTTTGCCTGCAATTTGTGCCCCAAACTGGCATTTTGTAAGAGGTCAGGTCTGCAGGCTTGGCTTTTACTGAAAGGAACTGATCGCTGGGAATCAGATCTGCTGGGTCTCACAGAATCCTTTAGGCATTCACTGCTGGGAATGCACATCCAATTTTGCATGGCACTTACAGTTTTTCAGCAATTGTGGAACATAATAGCCGTCTGCTCCCAATACCTGAGCTGTCTGAGGATGAGCTGGAGCCTTTCTTTGCTTGTCCTGTCTTGGCAGCAGCCTTTGCTGGTTTGGCAGGACCCGTTGTTGAAGGTGACTTAACAGAGGGTTTCTTCACTACCTTCTTCTCTTCCTCAGAGCTGGAATCTAGGCAAGAGAAACACATTCCCTACATGTTGGGGATGCATCCCAGAAGCACACTAAGACCAATAGGAATCCTGTTCAGTGGTAGTTTAAAGCACAGGTGTGGCATACAGCATCACCCACTAGGGAGATTCCCACTGCCAGTTTCTGTACTCATGGGACAGAAAAGAACCAACAGGAAAGGGAGGGCCAAACAATTCTGATAACCATTCCCAGAACAGCAAGCAGACAGCATCTCAGCCTCGAAGATTATCAAATTTCCTTTGTTAGGAGAACAGCACTGGCAGCAGCAACTAGGTGCATCCCTAAAGAGCTTTTCATGAGAGGTGGCTGAGGAGAGTTAAGGAAACTAAGCAACTAAGGAGTGACTATGGGTCTCAAATGGGAAGGTGTCAGAAAAGAAACAAAGGGAACAGAAGAGTTGCAATGAAGATCAAAGAACAGAAGGAAACTGGGAGAGAGGGGAGTCAGTGTACAACAGAGGAGTGAGAGGAATGAATGGAGGAAGCTGCCTAAGAGGGTTAAAGTTTTTCTTCCACATGGCAGGCTGGGTCTCTGGGGTTGCCCAATGATGGGACTGGAGATCTCTGGATATGCTCATTGGCATATTGGTTTGTCAGTCACACATCGACTTTGGAACTCATCTGACCCGAGTCCCAAATTTCAGGGAACATTCATACTAAAGAGAACAGAACCCTGTCAGTGTGGGGAAAGCTGGAATGTAAAGCCAGGGGCAACAGGCTTTCTGCTGTTGAGCCAAGGCACAGGGTAAGCCCTTCCAAATGCCTGTGGATAGAACCTAACACATTTCAATGTGACACCCAACTCTGCCTATCCTTCTCTGGGGTTACGCATGGTGACATCCTCTTGAAATAAGGCAACCCAAATAAGGATTAAGGGGTGCACACTGGGAGCGCTGAAGAGAAGGAAGTTAGAGTGGGTCATTATATGTTTCAGAGGAGGGCAGAGGTGAGACAGAGGGAGGCAAGCAGCTCCCACTACAGGCAGTAAGTGTGATCAATAGAAGGTACAAACCATGGAGCCCCCTAACTCTAGAAGCCCATCAGGAGTTACCCTTTTTGCACACCATGACCGTGGCAAAGGTAGTGGTGACACTCAACTCAGACACCTGTACCTGAAGCTGGCCCTGGCCCCGTTACAGATAACTTGAAGCTGAAAAACCCAGAAATGGGTCCCCAAGCAAGTTAATCCCTTGTCTGAGGTGCTTGTTCAGGAGCAAGATCCCTCCAGCCTGCAATGGGGAAGACTTGCTTGAGCTCATCACTGTTCTTATCCATGCTGCTCAGTCATGCTTCTCATCAGTCCTGTACAGGCAATTCAGTTCTCAATGGATTTTGGCATGGATAGCAGGAGAGCTAAGACTTACTCCTACTTGAGACCCCAGCAAACAGGAGGTCACTGCACAGTGAGAGTATGGACAAAAGTACATTTAGAGCAGTTTCAAAAGGGTGGGGGGATGACGATGACGGGGAGGACTTGAAAGGGGGTATGAACACAGTTCCTGTAAGGAGAGACAAGATCACTCTACCTTACTCACCTGAGTCACTGTCTGAACTGGATTCAGCTTTCTTGGTGGCCACAGCTGCAGGTTTTGGGGTAGGGGGCGTTTTAACTGCTGCTGCTTTGGCTGCAGAAGAAACATAATACACATCTTGTACTTACACATAACCTTGCATCCAGAGACCCCAGTGAGCTTTACAAAGGTAGACCACCATTAGCCTCTTGTAAAGCAGAGAGAAGCAACTTCACTAAAGCTACAGCTTAAGCCTTCTAGATTTTTCCATCCAGAGTAAACAGATGCACCTCTTATGAAGGTGACCATACATCCTGGGTTGGCAGGGACAGTCCCAGATTTTGTAGGCTGCCCCAGTCGGCTGGTGAAAATTGAAACAAAAGACCCGGATTGGCAGAGGGAAAGTACTGCAGCATGGGATGTCCACACATGCATGCGTGTGTGGCATCCCAGGGGCAGTAGGGGGTGCGGGGCAGCTTGGACCCCTTCCTTGAGTCAGCAGTGCAGGATGAGCACAGGGGTGGCAGAACAGTGCATTTGGCTGTGGTGGCTGCAGGGGTGCTGCGTACCTGAGTCTGCAGAGCCCAGCATGCCAGTCTGCACCTCCTTCCAGATGCTGCAGCCGGGAGCCAAGGGTGTGCCAGACAGCCTCGTGCCAGGTGAAAGGGTGCGTGCACTGGGTGGGGGGTTGGAAATCACAGGGGCAGAGTGCGGTCTGGCAGAGAGGCAGAGTAATATGGTGCACTTCTGCCTGTAGCAGCACTGCTGACTTAAGAGAGCTGGTGAGGGCAGTATCCTGGATTTCCCACAGTGCTCCTACTCTTATGGCACACTGCAAACTAGGCCTAACACACAGCCTAGCTCTGGCCTGGGAATGCAGTGCCCCACATTACTACACACCCCTGCTCAGCAAACTGAGAAGATTCTCATCCAGGCAATACATTCCAACTCAGTGTATACCTTTGGGCAACTTCAATATGCACTTGATTCATCCTTAGCATAACTACACTGAGGTCACTGGAGTTACGTGAGTGGTTACTTGATCAAATGCATTCAGGTTAGAAATGGGACTGAGTACAGTTTAGAGCCAGGAGTTCAGGTTTTGTAGTTTAGAGAATAACTAATTGCTTGGAGACATCAAGGAGTCACATACAGAATCGAAAACTCAAGAGCAACTCCTAGAGGGGCCACATGCCTTCCATATATTGATTTCATGGCCAGCTGTTGCCCCACCACACACCTGCTGCTCCCTTCTTGGGAGTCTTGTCTGCTTCATCACTGCTGTCTGAGCTGCTATCTGAGGAATCGCTGCTCTCGGCCTTTTTCCCAGGTGCCTTTGCAACACCACCTTTCTTTGACAGTGCTGTTTGAGGAGGCGGCACAGCACTGTATAGAGCTATAAAGAGACCAGATAAGGGTCAGCAGAAGCACAGCATGCACAGACCACAATTACAGTGTTGACAAATGCAGCACATGTGGCTCCTGGGTTTATCCAGGACAAGAATATAAAACAAGCCATTTATGTTACTTGCTCCCACACACAGTCACACATGGGGACTTTATTAAAGCACAGATGCAATACTCTTTCCCCCCTCCCATCTCTCTATACCCCCATTACAGTTCTTCTCTCCTCTGCCATCCCACCCACCCTTCCAAAGCTGGTAACCAGCATTGCTCCCTTCCAGACTTGGCGGGCTGGACTGATCTTCTGAGCTAACTGTGAATACAGGGAGCAAAAAAGCTTATATTGCTAAGTACTGTGGCTTAGTACAGCCAGAGGCTTTCTTTGCTGCTACAGCTCATTTATTCCACGGCTTACCAACTCCCAACGTAAACAAACCCTGCCTAACTTTCAGGGATTGCTTCTTCCTCCACCTGTATCAACTTCCACATTAGTGGGGACACAGGAACTACTATATCAAATCAGAACACAGGGCATCTAGTTCAGCATCCAACTCTGACAAGGGTCAGCACACAATGCCTCAAAAATGCAGGAAGCTCTGGAGTGGACAATTACAGAATAACCAACTCAAAGCGGAGTTTCTTCCCAGCTCCTGACAGGCTAGGAATCCTGCATGAGAACAACCTTCAACAGCTTTGACCATGGGGCATAAAAGCAATGGGAGAATGAAAGAGGCAAACAGAAACATTTCCATCTCAGAAGAAGGATTGATTTTTAAAGCTTAACCTCACCAGGCTGTGGCCAGAATAAAACCCCTGCAGCTGTGGCACTTACTACCACCATCACCTCTCTAACCCTTTTTAGTTAGCACCCAGTTAGACTTCTGTTAGCACACTTCCTTTTCACAGCATAGCAGGGCAAGTAGGAGGAAAAAACCCTCCTTCCCAACATAGCATCAACCTTCAATACTCACCTGGCTTAGGTTTAGTTTTTGAGGCTGGCTTTTCATCCTCTGAACTGTCAGAAGAATCCTCACTGCTGGAGCTCTCTTTGGCAGGGACTTTAGTTTTACCTGCGGGTGCCTGAGCAGCTGCAGGCTTGAATATCTTGGATGTTTTCTTGGGAATGGCCTTCTTTCAAGAAAGAAAGAAATACCCTTCTTCAGTAAGAAACCTATGCTTTCAGACAGATGCCCACCCCTACAGCAGACAATCTAGTCCACTGGACAGCAGATTTCCAGCACACAGAATCAGGATCAAATGAGGTTTCTTAAATGCTGGGAAACCCAGTATAGCCTCTCAGGCTGGGAAGAGCTGATATGGAATGTGAGCAGCCTGGAAAGAGCAGAATGGGAGCTGCAGCATTCCCTGACCACAGCTGTTTACACCCTAGCAGGAAACTCTCTAGGAGATCCTCCTCCTGCTGAGGTGAGGCATTTTGAATTAACCAACTCCCTCTTGCAAAGGCACAAGCCATACTATGGCTGGATGAAGCAGTGCACTTTGCACAGAGGAGGAAACCCATAGGGAGAGAGAAACATGCAGGTGCTGCAGAAGTATGCTGGGTCGGGTTCAAGGAGAAAGAGGAAAAGGTAGCCTTGTGGTAGCCCCTGGAGTGAAGGGGTCCCCAAGGCAAAGCCCCACTAACAAATGGCCAGCTGCTGGGAGGTTTGAGGGTTACTTTTCATAACTATTAGAAAATAGGGACTGACTCAATCCCAGAAGATTTGCACCACACCCAGGGATCCTCACATGCTGCTAGTCATACCTACCTTCACTGGTGCTGCCTTTTCCTTATCGGAATCCTCACTACTACTGCTGCTGCTACTGCTGCTTTCTGCTTTGCCATTGGCCACTTTGGGGGTCACCCGGGCAGCTTTACTTCCTGCTAGGAACAAGGCACAGAAAATAATTAGAAAGTGTGAAGGAGGAAGAAATGATCATTACATTCAATGAAGAGAAGCATAAGAGGAGAATCGCAGTTATACACCCCTCCCTGGGCAATACAGGACTTTAGATCCAGGCAGGCTGTTTATACTCCTGCTCCCTATCAGGACAGTTCTAATGCTCCACCTGCAGTTTGCTTTTGACACAGCAAGTTCAGCGGAGACAGTCAGGAAAGCACTGACCGCAGCTAATTAGAAGTCCCAGAAGTACAGACTGGGTGTAAGTTTGATTTGCCATGGTCCTATGTGGCCTCAGGGTTGAAGTCATTAGCAAGAAGCATATAATCCCAAGCAGTCTGGCTCAGGGATTGTAAACAACCACTGGAATGAATCAGGCTTCATCATGCAGCATTTCAGATGCAATTTGTATAATTTTGTTTTTCACTGGGACTTCCAAAAAGTCAAAGTTAAGTTACACTTCCAGCATGTCCCCATCTCTTGCAGTCCTAGGGAAAAAGACTGAACTGATCTGCCTGAATGGATGGTGGGAGTTAAGATGGTAGGTGCATCTCTCCTATCTTCATTTTCAAAGGATCTGATCCCAGGCCCCTCCCCTGGGTTTTCCATTCACATAATCACTCATAGTATAGTGGCAATGTGTACCTGATTTACCTGCTGTTTTAGCTGCTACTGGCTTTGGAGTCTGCTGCTTTGGAGTTTCATCCTCTGAGCTGCTAGAATCTGAACTGGAGCTTTCTTTCTTCTTCTTCTTCTTCTTCTTCTTCTTCTGGGGTTGAGTTTTGTGATTGGCTGGCTTGGCTTGGGGCTTGGCTCCCTTCTAATCAGAAGGGAAAAACAAGTCAGTTCTTGTTGGTCTAAGAGGGCAAAACTGGCTGAGATGTGAAAGTAATTTAGCAGGCACCCTATTCAGTACAGTGGATGGCTATAAGCAGAGGTTAGACAACTTCACTTCAGGTTTTCCATTCTTGAGTGGCTGAATGTTCATTTTGAGGTACAGATGCAAACAGGCAGGCCATTTCCTAAGCTTCTTGATAACAATATTTTTTCCTTGTACCCTGATACAGCCAAACAAGTACTAATTATCTGGTACAATGCTTCTTCCTCTATAAGAAAGGAAACTGAAACACCCAACACAGACCTGAGGGGGCGGAGTGTTCTGAGGTGTTCAGTCAGCATGCTATATTCTCAGATGCATGACTGTCCCAGAGGGAAAGGAAGCACCAGGGAGAGTTGGGTCCAGGTTGAGCCATGAATATCTCAGCATATGGCTGATGCTCCTGGATGACCATGAGGCCAAACTGGACATTTTCTATGCTTTGGGATTCAGTCACCAACTCTGAACTATCAGACAAGGATGGCTTTAGGACTGTGCAGGGGATCGGAGCAGATGATCTTTGTGGTCCTTTCCAATCTAAGGATTCTTAGCTTAGATTGTTAGCACAGAACCTCTCTTCAGCACTGGACAACATTAGTCTAACAGTTCAGTGCTGGTGGGGAATCGTTAGTCCTTCTCCTTGGACTCAAATGTGTCTTGATCCTCCAGCTCCCCTCATGCTCATGAAGGAAACAGATACCAGCTTCACAGTCAGGGTGCAGGGGAAAAAGAGGAGGGCATGTGCCTAATCCTCCCCCATTCACAGGTTACCAGCTACTGTTTGATGCAAGGAGGGAAGATGTGGTTCCTGCCTCACAGAACTCAGTAAATTGCCCTTGGTCTGAATTTTAAGATTAACAGAACAAAGCGATACAGGCCCATGCTCTGTAGCCAAATCCCAAATCCAGGAGCGGTCCCCACATTCCACAGTGCTGGTCACACCCTATATTCTCCAGTGCTGCTGAGCATGTTTTGGGAAGGGCATGGAGGAAGATCTGACCTGTGCTGGCTTCTTCTCCTCTTCCTCAGAGTCTGAATCATCACTGGAATCCTCACTGCTGCTCTCTGCTTTCTTGGCTGAAGAAGGCTGTTTCTTGGCTGCTTTCTTGGCTGTGTCTGCCTTCACAGACACCTTGAGCACAGGGGTTCGCTTAACAGCTAGATTGGAAGCAGCAGACAAAAGACTCACTCTCAGCTCCCATACAGTACTAGAAAAGAGATAAGTCTCTCACACCACAGCTGCTGAGGCCTACGTTGAGACCCAGGTGCCTCCTTTGGCCTCCAAAATGGGAAGTCAAGGAACAAACCCGCCAGATTCATTTATTGCCAAGTATACATGCAAATGCGTAATTCTCTCACTGAAGAAAATGCTGGGTTGAGCACCAAGGTGTTATCAGGCTTACTACCTCAACCTGTGATAGCCAAATTAGCTTTTCTCCTTCACCTCATTGTTAGTTGAGGAGCATGTTCCCAGGCTCCTTTTTAAAAAAAAAAAAAAAAAAATTAAAGGTCAGGACCAAATTCAGAGCCAGGACTGGAAAAAGGCCAAATTAAATATCCACGTGGTTCCCTCTTGGCTCCCCCACACTCCTATGCACTTTTTACTTTTTCAGAATGCTTGATTCCTTAACTTGACGGGGCCTCATTGCAACCACTGATTTTGGCTCAAGCCTAGTTTAACAGGCAGATTTCTGTCTCGTTAAAACTGCACTCACTTGCACTGAATTGGGCCCTCTGCCCAGCAGCACAATAAAGCAGCATTCCTTTGAAAACCAACATTTTGCTGGACTGTTGTCCCCCTGGAGGCAGCATGTCTGGTATAGGACAAACCTTTCCGGCCATCTCTTTGTTCCACAAACCCAACAATTTAGGTACAAAAAGATGTTAAAGAATGTGAACCAAGGTATCAGGGTACTGGCCAGAGCTGGAGTAGATGCTGACAGGAGTCAACATGTCAAAACTTGATGAAGTTCAGAGAAGTGAAGACCAGACTCAGAACAAGAAGAAAGATAAATTAAATCCAGAAAATTGAGGGCGGAAAGTATTTAATTCTGATTTTTAAAATTTTTTAAATGGGTTTATTTTTTTCATTAACTGCCACATCTCTACTTTCTTCCCATTTTAAATTCCTAGCGTTGATGATTTGTACTTATTTTTTTAGTTACCCGTAAATATAACAAGTCTGACCTAGACTTTTTTCTACTGAGTAGTTCCACGATTTATCAGATTTGTCCACAGGAACTAGTCAGATGGCAGAGAAGTCAAGCAGCATGAGCACATAAACTGGAAGTGGAATGACAGTGGGAGGGCAGAGGTTCCACTAGAACACAGACCCCACCCCCCATCTCCAGTACCAACCCCACCTGTGAGAGCTGTTCAAGAACCTGAACATAAGCCACAAAGGACCAGCCAGGCATCCAGCATAAAAAAAACAAAACAAACACTTCTCCAAAGTAATTTGGGTCACACCTGCCCATCCCAAAGGCTTTTTGCAAACTTCACCTGGCTTCTTGGCTGGAGGCCCCTCATCTTCATCGCTGGAGCTCTCACTACTAGAAGATTCTTTCTTTGAGGAAGGTCCATTAGGAACAACCTTCCGTTTCTTCCCTGCAGGGGATCTGAAGAAAGTTTGAAACAAAATTTTCCTGATTTTGAAATACTGTCAGCATTTTAATTCTCCTATAAACATCCAGTTTATTATTTGTATTACACCAAAACTGAACTGGAGCTTTATTGTGTTAGGCACTGGACAGCTTAAGACAGTTATGAAGAGTCTGCTGCCTAAAGAGACCTAGGAAGAGGGAGTGAGAGGAAAGAATGCAACAGGCATAGACAAGATGCTAATTAGCAAGGCTGATAGCTTGCTAATTCCACAAAACTTTTTTTTCTTAAGATTTGTGGGTGGAGTGTTCAGGTATACTCTGATGCTTATGGATATAAGGAACAGAGCACTTTCAATACCAGGTCCATACACTTATCATAACTGACCATGGCAACTCAGTGAGAACTCAAGGCCCTTCTGTATGTAGTAATGAGAGACTCCTTGCAATGGATAACTGTAGCCTCTTAAAGCTACAGCACATCTTCCAGTTGCATGTAATCACAGATTTCACATGTAGTACCATTAAAAGTGTTACAGAAGGTTGTCATTCTCCATATTATTTTACAGTGGTAGCTTTAATCCTCATAGCTACAATTGAAAATGTTAATGATAAACCAAAAGCTAATAAAATGAAGCCAAAGGATACACTTTACCTTTTTGGAAATATAAATGCAACCATGAAATTGTGCACACTTTGGGTTATTTCTGATGGGTTACTTGGACACTTTAATTTATGATTTTTATATGCAACTCATTTTCAACTTTGTTTTTCAGTTCTTCATGTGAAACCACTGACTATTAAGATAATTCCTACAACAGAAAATGCTTTACAACAGTAACATACATAACCTGATAAAGGCAAGGTTTATTCACATGCAAACTAGGGGCACACCGATAAGAGATTTTGGGGGCTGATACCAACAGCTGATTTTTAAAAAGGCATATTGGCAGATACTAATCCAATTTCTGATACAGCTGCATGTAGGTGGTAAGTCTGTTGTGGTGGAAGGGGAGGGGGAAGGGAAGGAACGTGGGGGCAGATCAAGTCCCCTGTGGTGAGGAAGGAGCAGGGCTGGGGCAGGCGCTGCTGAGCTGAGGCAAGGTGCAGGATGGAGCCACAGTTTGTCTGGGGGGCGTGGTGCAGCTCTGGCTGCTGTGTGCATCCCGGGGTGGGGTGTGTGCACGTGTGCCTCCCAGATCTGTGTGGGGTGGGCCGTAGCTGCAGGCTGGGGCCACACTCAGGGCAGGTGGCGGCAGCAGTGCTGGAAGTGGGGCTATTGGGGG